AGAAATAAGCGATCTCCATATTTTTTGTGTTAATGGATAAACATGTATAAATTAAACATCTATACTGTATGAAAATGTAGCAATTTGTTCGACTTTTTGCAATTTCTCTAAGAACTTTAATGTTTTCATCTCTTTTAGCATTCAATATAACCCATTGTTTCTTTACAGAATGGACAATCTTACAGAATGGAAAATCTTCTTGAATTTTCTTAATATTTTTAAATTCTTCTAGAATCTGCTTTCATTATGTTGTCTTTCATTACTTCTTTCAGAAATATATGTATCTAAAATAGCTTGATATTTATTTATATATATGAACTCATTGTTTGTCATATTCTATTTTTATTAATTTTGTAGTTTATTTGTTTTTACAGTTTGTACATTTTCAACAGGCGCAAGAATATTTGATGGACCAAAATTGTTTTCAAAGTCTTCATTTCAAGTCTTTCATTGTCATCAATTACGTTATTCATTCTATGTAAAAAATAACAGTATCATAAATAAATTTAGCTGTATATATGCACAGTTTGTTATTATATTCTACATTATACTTACACAGCATTATTTTCCTTATTGAAATCTAGTTAAATCCTCTAAGTACCAAACCGTTTCTTCCTAATATAGCAAGTGGTTAAATACTATGTTTTTCTCCTAATAAATCTGTTAACTGTAATTAAAGAGAATATTAGTATCATTCGTAATATTATACATAAATTTATTCTTTTGTAATATATAATGTTATTTACTTTTATAAGTACGCTTCATATTTATAAGTCTTTCTTGCTTTGCCGGTCATTTTATTATTACTAATATTCTAATTTTATATTCTATTTTTGTATGAACGTTCCAACGACTTAATTTTACTTTCCACTTGTAACAGGGTAATTACTATGACCTATTTCTTGTGCAATTTGTTTCCAAAATTTTATAAGTTTTTATTTTTCTTGTATTTACAAGATTTTTTTTAGATTTATAAGTGTCTAACAATTTTGTTGATGTATCGTTCCAAAACCACGAAGTTGTATTTATAGCAGTTTTATTTTGATTATTTTGATCAATTCTGATCATTCTCATCATTTTGATCATTTTTATAATTTTGATCATTACGATCATTTTGATCATTTTGAATATTTTCATCATTTTGATTTTGTGTATTATTACATATTTCTCTTCTTGTTTTAGAAAGGACTACACAAATTTCAGTTCTATCAAGAATAAAGATTAAAGTATCCGAAGAAAAATTTATATCTCTCTTCGGAAATTTTAACTGTTTTCCATCTAAGTAAAAAATATTAAAAGATATATTTACTCGCTTATAAAAATGTTAGCGCGCTTTTTTGTCATTTTATCCTTGTTTTACGTCTATTGAACGATAAAGATAGAACGATGAAAAAGTGCGCTAACATTTCTAAGCATACTCTGAGAGAATATGGGCCATAATTTAAGGATATCAATTTATATAAGATGTTTTATTTAACTAGGCCACTCAAAATAACTTGTTAATTTTTAAAGATATATAAAAACAGAAGAGAATTGAGTTAAATTTGACATTCTGTACATTATTATATAGCAAAGTTATATAAATAATTTGTTAAAAATACTTGTAATACCTTTAATTGTGCAATTTACACATCCATTTGAATCCATTTTTATTTTTCCAAAAGAGTCCAGTTGTAAAAAGCCACGTAATTGCACAATATCTGCTGCCTTTTAATATTACTTTTTTATAAATATATAATAATTCTGAAAACAAATGTTATAAAAAGTTACGTATAAAAGAATGTGTATACACTTGTTCGTTAAATAACTAGTTTGGATTTCACGGAGTAAAAAAATGAAATAAAAAAATTCGCACGAAAGAAACATTCACTGAATTGCATGCAAGTCAATAATTTATTATACATTTAATACGGTTCACAAAAAAAAACGTAATATACACGGATCGAACTAATTACACTATTTAAATTTGCAAACGCGAAGCGATCATGATGAATGATTTTGCGCAAGCAATGATACTTCTTTACGAGGCAAGCAACCTCGTAAAACACTGTGATTTAATAGAGCAAGCAATCTTTGAGAGCAAGCAACTCTATGAATTTTGATTAACGCCGATACTGATTCTGTTTTAATGATAAGTTCAGACAGACGACGCGGTTGTCTCGGCAATCTTTTTATATCACAAAAGTTCTAGATTGTCCTTTCACAACGACTCCGGAACTTGCGAAGGAAGGAAAAGAATCTAGAATTATAATTTTCGTTAAATTAAATAATTATTATTGTTTATAAGTCAAAAAGACAATAGCTGCTGTCAAGTGCTAATTGATTTCCTGACTTGGAATCTGTCGCCGCGATTCGATGCGCGAGAGCACGTGTACTCGCGCGCAAATTGGCGCGCGTTGCTCTTTTCAGTCTTCAGCCACTTTGCACTTTTTACTTTTTTCTTTTTACTTTTTTCAAGACCAAGTACAAAAAGTGTTGCCAGAAATGTAACTGCACTGGCAAAACAAACAGCGGTTACATTATGTCCGATAACAAAAACAAGTTAGTGTACACTTAGTGCAAAAGTACAAAAAGCGCATGCAATACGAACAAACTTTATGACTCGTTGCCTCGTAGACTAATGGCGTCGTGATCACCGCCATTCTATGTCGTCTACATCTGTTTGATCTGTTCCGCTCTTCATCTGTACAGAAAGCCCGAGAAATGGCTTGTTCCGTCGTACGGTCGGCAATTCTTCGCAATTCTACGGTATAGCTTAGTCTTATATATAGTAGAGATGATTATTATGCGCTTTTTTTTTTAAAGTTACTGTATATTATGTCGCCCTTTGTAATTGCCTAAGTGTTATGTAAACCAGAAGACAGTGTGTTAATGCATTTTTTGAATAACTCCAATAATTTTCACAGTTGGATATAAGAGATGGCAGACAAGAAATGGCTATATATAAATTTTACTTTGATAGAATTAAAATTTCCCATTTGTAATCTCCATTTTGATATACTTTATGGTTATGCGTTTGTAATTTAATTTCATCTATATTGTCAGTCTTAAGATATATCATCATCCATTTCCCATGAATAATAAGAACACTACAGTGTAGAATTAATTTTCAATTTGTATATTGATATTGCAATAAAGAGTATGCTTTTTTGATACCTCGTATTGTTGCAGGTAAGGCATTATGCAGCTGCTGCAGCTGCTCAATGCTCCAGCACTACAATTCCAGAGCTTCAAGTGTTGTCGAGTAATAAGGTGACGGTTACTGCACTTGATAACAACAATCCTGTTGCTCAAATATCAGTTATCTTTCGGTATGAAATTGATCATACAAATTGATTCAATACAACAAAATAATTTCTTTTTTCTTGTCCTTTTTAATATCTAGAGCTGGCTCACGTAACGAGACATATGATACACAAGGTACTGCACATCATCTTCGAATTGCCGCTGGCCTGAGTACTTGCAGATCAACTTGCTTTGGAATAACTAGGAATATTCAGCAACTTGGTGGGAATTTAACTGCTACTACTGATCGTGAAAGCATCGCTTATACATTACAAATAACAAGGAATAATTTGTAAGTAATTACTTTATATCAAGAGATCTATATATCTCGAATAATTCCCAACATTTATATTTATATTGTGTCGCAATAGGGATAGAGCTTTGACTTTTCTAGAAGATGTCGCCACGCAACAAGTGTTTAAACCATGGGAAATATCCGATCAATTGCCTAGGTTGCGCTATGAATTATCCATGATACCAGAAACAACCCGTATAATGGAATTGTTGCACAAGGCAGCTTACCACAATGGATTAGGTTATTCTCTATACTCGCCAAAGAGACAACTTGGAAAAATTGGTACAGAGACTGTACGTATGTAATGACATCTTGTTCCTTGCACAAAAAAGAGAGAAACAGAAAAATTAATTTTTTTTCCTTTATAGCTGCAACATTTCGTCAATACTTGGTTTACTGGCTCCAAGTGTGCAGTTGTAGCGACGGGAGTGTCGCTATCAGATATGACTCAATTCGCTTCGAATCTAAAAATGAGCTCGGAAGATAACACTATGGAACCTACCAAATATTATGGAGGAGAACTTCGCAAAGAACGATCCTCCGAACTGTCTACCGTAGCTGTAGCTGTTGAAGCGGTGAGTTTAGATAAGGAGAAGGATGCCCTCGCTTGCGCCGTATTGCAAAGAGCAATCAGTTCCGGTCCCCGTGTAAAATGGGGCTCTTCCGTATCTCCGCTGCACAAAGCAGCCTCTGGAGTAGCGAGTACCGATCAATTTGCTCTTTCGGCATTCAACGCTTCTTACAGCGATTCCGGACTGTTTGGTTTTATTCTGTCCTCGGTACCAGCTGTCGCCGGTTCCGTAAGTTTCCTTGTTCAAAAACAAGTATATAACGAGATTACTCTCACATATATTAACGAGATTAACTCTCATATATATCATGCACATGCGTGAAACTGAACAACATAGTTACGTCCCATAATTATGTTTTACTTTGTAGGTAACGAAAGCTGCTGCCGCGTATCTAAGATCGCCTAAGCTTTCCGATGCTGACATCGCTCGTGGTAAGATCATATTAAAGGCAGAGATATTATATGCTGCGGATAATGACGCCACGTTTTTAGAAAATATGAGACAGCAAGCAATTTTTAAGGGACGCGTGTACAAACCGTCTGATCTCGTTGCAAAAGTAGACAAAATAACTGCGACTGAAGTTAAATCGGTATGTAGATTTCTCTTTTTTTAATATCATCGTATGCTCTTGCTGTTTTAATATCGCAAAATAATTTTTATATACATACATACAAAAGTTGCATATTATTAAAACAACCATTTGTCTATTATTTCAGATTGCCGGAAAATTTGCTAGTGGAAAATTATCTATGGCTGCAATCGGTGATTTATGCACCGTTCCATATGTCGACGAATTGAAGTAAATACGACGATAAAAGTTTGAATAGTACTCTGTTCATTGCAAGGCTTCAAGTTGTAAATCTTTTGTCGAGTTCATCAGAGAGTAGAATATACTTATATATATTAATAATATATATATTAATATATATTAAATATATTAATAAAGTATTAATATTAATAAAGTATAAAATAAAAAATAAAAGAAAATATCTCGCTGTAGTTTGCACAATTGAATATCTCTCTTGAGTTTCATTTAGCAACAATATTGAGAAGAAATGAAGAACAAAAACAAAAAAGAAAAGAATACGGTAAAAATTACAATATTGAAATTCATGTTGAATATTCTCTCAATAATGGTGATGTCTACATTCGTGTTCATGTCTACGCGACACATAAAATTAATAGAAAGTTTTTACACACACACACACACACACACACGTGTGTGTGTGTGTATAAATAAAACTTTCTATTTTGTGTCGTGTAGACATGAACACGAATGTAGACATCACAATTATTGAGGTGTGTGTGTGTGTGTGTGTGTGCGCGCGTGCGTGCGCGTGTGCGGGCGTGCGTGCGTGCGTGCGCGCGCGCGTGTGTGTGTAAAATACATATTCGATAATCTACATTAAATATGAGAGAAGATAGATACATGCATTTGCTAATTTAATAAAGTTTTATTTCTTCTATAGAGTAGAATTTATTATGTTTTCTCGAAGAAGATCGTAATGATTTTCCATTACTGGTCCTGTCTATCATAGGTCTCAAATTCACAAGATCTTGCAAAAATTGAAACTGAAAAGAAAAAAAATAATGTTCATCAAATAGAGAAGACAATGGTTGCGTTCAGCAGAGAAAGCAACTTTGCAATTGTAAAAATCTTTGATTGATTTTCTATGATTGATTTTTGTCATTAGATCAAATGTGTAAACCGATCATATTAAAGAATTTTACAACAGTTTCAAAGCTGTTTTTTCTGCTGAATGCAGCCATTGAGGGACTATACGCGCGCGTAAATAACCTTTTCACACTTACATGTTCCTCTAGAACAGAATTGAGTCGATTAAAAAGTTCTAAAACGTGTGTGTCTTGCGACAATAAATAATGCTGATAATGAGAATCGAGAAGCATACAGGACCATTCGTATAGCTGCTGGTCGCTCAGGTGCGAATTATCATCAGGCGAATCCGTTTTGTCGTTCAATTTACACATTAAATATTTCAACAGTTTAAGTACCTGGTCGAAAGTTAAACCAGTCTTCAGACGAGGTAACAGAGAAACGCTGGAATAGCTGATACTAAATACTTTGTCGAGAAAATTATTTCTCAAATAGAGATCGACTTTCGACGTGATATCGGTTGTGCCGTTTTGCACAGTAACGAATACTTTGTCCGAAGTCTCGAGGGCAAACACCAAAAGATCCACCAGTAATTTCTCTGGCAAATCTTGAAATGTGTCGAGACATCCACAGATGGACGCGACGTCTCCAGACTCCATTAATAATGGGATTAATGTCTCCTGTATCGCGGCATCATTCCATCCTTCGTTTAAATAAACGCAGATCTGTTTCGAGATATTAGAAGGTATTCGACCTATAGATGCATTCCTCACGCGCGTTTGATTCTTGTCCCATTGAGCCACTGTCGCTTCCTGTATCACGATAATATCATCCGCGTCACTTTCTGCGTTGACATTTTTGAAGCGTAAAGACGAGCCCAACATAGTGGCGATTCTTTGTGGCGCGAGGTGATAAGGCGCGACAGCCAAATGTCTGTTTGCCGCGAGCAATAATTTGTCCTCTACCTTCCAAAGCTTGGCATCATTAGTATAAAGTTTTAGTTTTTGCACCGCTTGCGCCGACTTGAATTGTACATTATATATCATGAGAATCGCTCCTTCGTCTGCGACGTCAGCACCGTAAATCGCTATAATTGTCTCATTCAAGTATGTCATAACGACGGGATACTTTGTATTGATATTGGTAATTACAATGATGAATTTGGTGGATTCCATGTTGGTAGAAGATATCCCTGTTAAGAAGTGACTGTACAATCCGCCATGTGACCCTGAAACAATTACATCACATTATTATACATGATCTCTTTCTTGAAAAGTAAAATGCAGTGTCTTACATACATAAAGTTAACAGATAAGCATCATTCTTATGATGTATTATAACGTGTCCCATAAGATCTTCGGCTCTTCGTTTCAATTCTATTCTCCTGATAGTATTAGTTTTCTCCAAATAGGTAATGTCCTCTAACCCAACTACTATACAGTTGTAGACCTCTTCCACTTTTGTCAAGTAGAACAAACTTGTCTTTCCATTTAAATGTATCAATTGACAATCCAATAATTTTTCCTTGGTCTTAATTATACCCTTACTTGTCCAAGTCTTCCTGTTGTCAATCGCCCATTCGAGAGAAGCCGTAGCTCCATTTTGCTGTACCAAAATAGGCGACGAGTTACCATTCGGCAGAATAGCGTAAAGCGAGGATTGAAACTTGTATCCCTTCACATTGTTCAAATTTGCCTCCTCTTCCGACCATAGGCGTATCTTCCTCTCGTTGAAGGCAGCAATATAACATTGCTTGGATCTATCGTAGATCACTTGCGTCGTTAATCTTTCTTTGCTGGACCAGCTACTGATTTGCTTCAAGTCTTGCAAACTAAAAAAAAATATATATATATATATACATATATATTATGTATGTATGTATATATGTATATAATATGTATATATATATATATATATATATATATATATATATATATATATATATATATATAGTGTGTA